AAAAAAAAAAATTTAAAAAAAAAATCCTAGCAACTACAGATTAACAAATTACCTACAACTGACCAAAAGAGTCATTATAAAGTCTCTTGACACCTGGACAGGCAATGTTCACAACAGAAAGCATTCACTCAAGATAAATATACACACAAGTTTTAGAGAGACTGAGCTGTCTGTAATAAAATTGGAAAAAGGTTAAGAAGTATTTTCTGATAAAAGAGCATATATATAGCAAGAAAAAGAACATAAAACCAAAAGGTAGACCTAACACCATCTGTTCTTTTATGTTTTTGTCTTTTGTTTTTTAGTTGTGATTTCCCAAAGGAACAAGGCAAATTATGAAGGTAGGTATGCATAGCAATAAAGCATAACATATTTAGTAACAAGACCAGCGAATATCTGCTACAGATTGACAAGTGTGTCCAACATCCTCTTTTAATCTTGTTAAAGATTACCACAACATAAGCAATGACATGAGGAGAACTTGACTGTGTTTCAAAATGTCAGATCAAAAACTGATTTTGGGGGGGTAATCTAGATGTCTATCAGCACAATAGTGATGATAAAAGGTGCTCACATGCTGAGTGTTTTTAAACATGATTAAATGTGCTGTACAAAACTTCCATTTTTCAACTAGGTACGTAGTATCTAAGATAGTAATAAATTATAAATCTAAACTTAATGTGAGTGCATTGCATATCAATACAGCTCTAATATTACTTGACATCTATTCACATGCCACCAGATATTATCAAAAGGAGATGCAAGTGAGGTGGTAAATAGACACAGAAAGACTTACAGACTTCTCTTGTTTTTCTTTTCCTGGTTGACCCTGGTAAAAATTAATTTTGGATTTTGTAATACTTTTAAAAAGAGAGTGGCTGCATTCACACAGCGTAATTTAAGCACAAGATAGTTATATTTCAAAGGCCACAACAATATATGGAGGGAGAGCCTTATGCACGTGCCCAATGAGCATACAATGTAGGTAGTGTGCTGGCTTGCCCCAAGTCAGAAATTTTGCCATTTTCATAAAAGATTGCCAGACAACTATATTGTCAATAAGAGAACAAAATCATTTGGCATAGTGTGCTATCTAGGTGAAATAAAACAGATAGAAAGGAAAATATGAATATTTTCTCACCTTCTGATGGGAGCATATGCAAAATGTTGGTTTGGAGACATTCTTGGACTTTCCAAGGGACTACCTACAAAACAAGTTAATTTGTAGTGAATGAAATCAAACTGGGTGGAGGGAGAAAAGAGAAAGGGTAAAAAGTCTTACCAGACATAGGAGACAGGCAACGAGGAAGGGTGGGTGAGGTAGTTGAGATGAAGCTTTTCCTCTGATTCACTCTGCTACTGCGTCTTGATATGCACAGCTCCTTCTGAAATATTTTAATTGAACATAAATAAATGAAATTTTTGGGTAAATAGTTTCATTAGAATGTGTTAATTATTCTTACCATTGTGTTGGACAATGAAGGAGCTGACTGTCCCAAGGTTGATCCATGAATGCGCACCAAATTGGAAACTTCGCCAGACCCAGAACTACCACCTGATGTCACAAACATTGATAACCCATTAACAGTGCAACAGTGACAGTTGATCAACTAGGATAAGATTCAATACAATTGTCAATGCTGCTAATATTGAAACAAATTCGCATTGCTAAAGTCGAGAAGGAATGAGAAATACATAAAGCAAAAACATTCAATAGAACTAACAACCAAGTTCGACAGACGACAACTTCACCACAAACAATACATATTAACCACCATCAGGACAACAAGGTATGAACAATTCAACTCACCAGATAAAGTGCCAGTTGCAGGGTCCTTGGTGTCAGAAAATCGTCTGCCACTCCTGTCAAAAACCCCTATAGAGGGTCTGGACTTGCGCATGTTTACAACTTGGTTGGCAGTCAAGGCCTGGCCATGGGCCGCGCCTGACTCGGCCTCGGCCTCGCATGGGCCCCTCGTCTTGCTAACCTTGTTGGGCCTGCTCTGTGTTTGCTCCATATCGCCCTGGCCTAGCCCGGGGACGGCGCTAGGGCCACAAATGGCGCAAATACAAACCAGCAAACACCCGTTCCCTTCACCAACAGAGTGCTGTGGCCATCATAACTATCTGGGTCACCACCTACACGGCCATTGCGCGGCGTCACAGGACCGACCGAAGGTCCTTGCGTTGTTTATACTATGCTCGCGCATTTTGGGGGATTTTGGCACTTACTAAAAGCGGCTACGTAAAAGGTCAACAGAAAGTAAATGCCTAATCTTATCTACCATCCTTCAGCGGCCATCTTGACACTAAACAAATTTACTTATTTTGGACTAGCTGTTTTCTCAAAGGCTGTGATTCGAGTTCCTTCCCTTCCGCAGCCAGGGTTCCTGAGGTCACCAAAACCCCGCAAATTTTCGCTGCTGCAGGATATATTCAAGAGTTTGAGGGTGCCATTCTGCTGCCCTACCCTCTCGAAAGTCAAATAAACAGTACAAATCGATGGCGGGCCACGGATTGGCCTTTTCGAAGATTTTGAGATTTTCATGGAAGGTCCTTTAACAAAAGAAAAGTCAAAGAATGAAAAGAAGAAGATGCCGATGAATGACTTACGTGGTATTTCCGCATGTCCTTCGTCCCTTCCCCCCGCATGTTTCCCGCCTCTCCTTCTCCTCCCTTCCCTCTCTTTGGAAAATCTAGCCGAAACGAAAACAAACAACATAACCTTTCAATTTGAACTACAAGTTATTTCATGTTATTATCAGAGACTCCCCTCTCTCCGGCAAGCCCGAATTAGAGCGATCTTGAAAGCGCCATGCCGGACACTGCGCTGTTTGATTTCATGAGAAAGGCCAAGGATGCATCGGTAGGATATTGTAGTTGTAGTTTTTGACCCCTCACTTTAATTAACTATCAATGGGCCTATTTATTGTCCAGTTTGAATTCAACTACCTATTCTACCTAATATGCTGTTTACAGTTCTGGAAGTGTGTCGCCCTAGACAGAGATGTCTACTGACAAGTCAAGTTTCTTTCTCTGGTTAATGCTTCTGGCCTCACAGTGAGCAATGTTAATCAAGATAATATAAGTTGAGTGGATCAGATTTATCCGTTTTTTACCTTCCAAATAGGTTGGAATGAGCCGGTATGGCGATGGAGATTGAGAACTCTAACATACTCGTTGATGGCATTAAGATATTGGATTAAACACTGGCGTCTACTTTCATGCCTGTTACTTATCACTTTTTGTTCACTTACATGATAACTCCATTAAGAGATGTCTGCTACACCTCTTGAAGGACTGAGTGCACAGCACTCTTGTGTAGTAATTGGGCAACTGAACCTTTACCTCTGACAATTCTCCTTCCTGTACGGATTTGACCAATTGCCAAGACCCTGCATCTGACTTGGTACGCCTGCCATTCCTTGATGAGTTGCCAGGGTCGTTTGTTTAAAGTGCATTTCACACACCTTGTTCTCCCTGAAATACATTTTCGCTGTGCAATAGAAGAATATAATATGAATTATGGCACTAGCATGGTCAATGAAGTATGACCACAGTGAGGTCACACTGTTTTAGATTCGCCAAAGTGTTGAAATTTTTCCCTCATGGAACGTTTTAAGTGAGCTGTAGTCATACCCAAAGTTGTTGTACAGTACAATATGTTTTTTTATTTTTTATTTATGTAGTTTTCATAAATAATTGTAAGACATTTCTCAGTTAATTAATATACCAAGTTGACAAATTGTTTTCTTTTGATTTCAGACGCACCTCTGCGCACCTCTCGGATCAAATAAGAATATCCACATTATTATGGGTAATGAATCATGTGACCTCGATTCAGTTGTCTCTGCACTCTGCTTTGGGTTGTATCAAGACAGTCCAGACAAGATTGTTATACCTCTACTCAACATAGAAAATGACGAATTTCCTCTCCGTACTGAGGTGACCTATTTACTTCACGAGAACGGAGTTCCATCAAATCTGCTAGTTTTTCGGTAATCACCACTTTTGTAAAATCTCTCACGATGAATAGAACTTTTGGCCCATAATGGAGGAGGTCCAACCAGCGACATTCTTTTTATTAGCACGACGTTCTGAGCTAATTCTTCATTTTTATTTTCTTTTGGTAAAATTTGCTAAGTTAAAAGTTTAAAAAATTATGGCCCATGGGGGGATCGAACCCACGACCTTCGCGTTATTAGCACGACGCTCTAACCAACTGAGCTAATGGGCCGCTCTTCTCGACGAGGCCCTCACTTCGGTTGTACTTTGTCGTCTCGGGTCTCGGGCTTCTTGTCACGAGACAACATGACTGAATAAAAGATTCGTGTTTCCGCCCGGGATCGAACCGGGGACCTTGTGCGTGTGAAGCACACGTGATAACCACTACACTACGGAAACGGTGTTGAGTGGTCTCCGTCTCCGCAGGGACCAGATCGACTTGGCGGCGCTGCGCGATAGCGGGCGCCTGCGCCTCACGCTGGTCGACCACCACGCGCTGCCGGAGCGCGACCGCGCGCTGGCGGACAGCCTGGTGGCCGTCATCGACCACCGGCCCCTCGACGTGGAGGCGAGCAGGGCCTTCCCGCCCGGCATGGACCTGGATGTGCGCACCGTGGGCTCGTGCGCCTCCCTCGTCGCGGAGAGGATCCTGCGGCAGGCGCCGCACCTCCTGGACGCGCAGGTCGCCAACCTGATCAGAGGTGAGTCCTGGCTACTGACGCCTCAACCGGCCACTACCCCTTCCCACAACTTGATCAGAGGTGAGTCCTGGGCGCCCCACTGCTCCCCACCGCTCCCCGTCTCCTCTCCCTCAGTCGGGTCATGGTGAATGGTCTTCTTTCAGGCACCGTCTTGCTGGACACGGCCTGCTTCTCGCCGCAGGCGGACCGCACCACGCCCGTGGACGTGGCCGCCGTGGAGGCCTGCGAGAGCGTGAGCAACACGTAAGGCAGCGTCTTTGCCTTCACCCACTTCGGGAGAGAGGTAGCTCTCTGTGATTCGCCCAGCCCACTTTTTTTTTCCTTTTTTTTTGCCGTCCAGGGAAGACAGGGCCACCACGTTTGACCGGATCGTCTGCGCGCGCAAGGACGTCTCCTCCCTGTCGTCTTTCCAGATACTGCACAAGGACATGAAGGTGGTGCGCGGCGTGCCGTTGCCCGGGATGCCCCTGCTCGTGCATGTGAGCGCGATGTTTCACCTTCGAATCCCGTGGAAAACACATGGAATTCACAATAACGTCTGACGTTTTCCAGGACTTCCTGAAGCGCCCCGACGTCGGCTCGGCGTTGTCCGAGTTCTGCACGAAGCACGCCTCTGCGGCTGCCGTCGTCATCGGAATGAGTTTCTCGGAGTCGTCGGGGACGTCCTCGCTGCGCAGGGACCTCGCCGTCTACAGCCTCGGCGGAGCGGAGCAGCCCGCCGGCCAGGTAAGGAGTGACGCTCCTGGAGCTCGTCCTGGGGAGAGGACCCCGTCGTGACTGTGGCCGTATGTCGCAGCTGATCGAGGCGCTCCGGGCAGAGGAGGACCTCCAACTCTCACCGGCGCCGTGCTCGATACCCGGCGTCACCCTCTTTGACCAGCGCAACGCCAAGCTGTCCAGGAAGCAGATCCTGCCGGTGGTGCAGCGCGTCCTCTCCGCGGCGACCGCCAGGGCCTAGCGCCGTCGCCGATACCCCGCGCTCGCGCGGAGGGCCTCGCTCGAGCGGCGCCCGCTAGATGGCGCCACCGTGGCGCCGAGCCGCGCCGCCCGCCCCAATGTCGCACGCGTCGCGCTGCGTGCGAGCCGCGCTCCCGGGGCCTTACTGCGCTTCGGACGCGATCCGATCCGGACGAGACCAAGGTGCACTACGAGCCTGATGGCGCAGCGCCTCGCAGTGTCCCTACTGTACCAACGATGCACTGCCCACATGAATAAATGCTGGTGACCGTATTGATTCTCTCACCCTGACCTCGCGAGCCAAGTACACTTGCACGCTTCCGTGTTCACACCCGTGAATGAATGAGTAGGTCAGGTCAGTCTTGGGTGGATAGCTTTTCGCGCTTAATCAACTGGGGCGGCTGGGCGGTCGCTCGCCGACGTATCAACTGCCTTGATCCACAAAATACTATTTTGCCACATCCAAGGCGGAAGTGGAATATCTCTGCAGGCAGCCGTCGCTGCGTCCCTGGCCTCGCCTTGGCGGTGGCCATAATCATTGTTCACGAGGAAAGAAATCTGGCGGTTGTGCTGTTCTTCTCCGTTCTCTATCGGTACTGTACTCGATTGTCATATCATCCATAACCTGAAGGAACGCATGTTATAGGGATATTAATCATTAATCTCTATCAGCTCTACTGTGATGAAACCTTTCTCAGTGAACTGGAATGAAATGAGCACGATAATACAATCTAGAGTGTGCGACGTGGCTTCAGATTTATTCGCGGATTCTCGTGTGCCGGGTTTTTGTTCGATTTCAAGTCAGCAGCCGTATTGGTACCAGTGTGACGGTCGCCCGTGCCCACCCGCTCCAAGTTCCACGCTGAGTTCTCTGCTCGCAAAGTGGAATTCCATCCCGGCGTGGACCCAGGCTTAGACCCCCTCGATGCGCTCGCTCGGTGGTGGCAGATTGCACTGGGGCAATCAGCGCGCCCAGTGACGGCGGCGTGGCATAAGCCGGACACATTTACAATCTACCCCGGGCCCGCCGCAGACCCCTTTTCCACTAAACTATGTCCAAGAGGAGTAAAGTAGTTTAATAACGGCACCGTATCGAAGTGCGGCTGTGCCTGCACTGCACGGCGCCTGCTTACGGCCCGAGACTAGCCGAACCGCCGACGATCGAGCGAATCAGCCACCTGAAGTGAAGTGAATGCGGTGATGTGCAGGGTGTAGGCTACAGGTAGCTAGGGGATCGTACAGACGTCCGATTTTCTCAGATTTATTCGGCAAATTGCAGAAGCTCGGCGCCTGTGAAACTCGGGGTAGGCCACCACGCAGTGCACACATGCAACGCTGGTACGATGTTGCCTACCCCTCAGGCGCCAGGAGAGCTCCCATCGGCTGAAATGGCAGTTTCGTGACGGGTGACGGGCGTACTTTCTGGGTGATTCCTAGTTTCACTTCTAGGCTCACCCCCCGAGCTCTCTGCCTCGCGTCGTGGAGTCGAGGCGGTCAAGCCGTGTCGAGGGTGCCGAGTCTGCAGTTTGCAACCCGCGGCAAAGCTATGTGGATTCATTGAAGCGGCGAGAAGGTAATTCCCCTTTGAAAGGCGCGGAACCCTAGATTTGGAGCAGCGCGGTGGGGCGAGTGCCGCTGGTGCTGATGACGTCTTGTCTTTGCTCGTTGAGCACATTCGCTAATGTGTGCTGCTCCGTACTCCGAACGGCCCATACGTATGACCCTTGCGCGGTCAGCGCGGCCCGTCGCGGGCCCGTCTAACCTAACCTACCCGACGGGACCTCAGAGTGGCCGAGTGGCCAATCTCCCATGAGGCATTCAGCGCCCGCCACAG